CAGGCGATCCCGAAGTCTGTGCAGGTAGAGCTAGCACGTCGTCTCCTCAGAGGCAAATTCGCTAGCTTCTGGCGAGGATTCCTCTGTTGATGTAGACTTAGATTTTAAGGACTCCTTGGCATTGTCGGGTCCCCTACTGCGGCATGCACCTATCTGGGTAAGATGTAGTTTACTCAGGCAGAAAATCATTATTGTGCCTGAGAGTCAAAATGAGTAGGCCGAAAAAGGCGGGAAAGGAGAAAGAAGCAAACAGTTGAAGTGTGTGTGTGTGCGGGGGGGGGGCGGTAAGCCAAATAGCTGGCAAGTGAAAAGAAAACAACTCACGGGGGATCGTAGATTAGATAAACGAGAAGGGAAAGAATCCAATTTAGAGGGAATTGATCAATAAGCTAAGGGAAAAAACCCTGTGGAAATAACTCTATGCTCTGTAGAACTTTACAGCACGGCGGAAAAAAGGAACTAAGGGGAATCTTGGGTGGGAGGAGCTTGTGCCTCATGGGGGATCATCCCATAAAATTGTTACTTGTAGCTCTAGAATGCTCCGAGAATGTCAGCGCAGGCGCAGACTAAAGCCATATGTGTGTATTCACAGAGGCCACGAAGAAGAACAATACAATTTTAGAGGCGTGCTTAGCAAATCACTCATAATATTTTGACCTGAGCATCACTTGAATCTTCATCCTGAGCCAGGGTTGATATCAATGTCACAGACAGTGTCTTTGCTGTGGCTTGACTGCAGAGAATTGTCTTCCTGCAACTCCACTAACCCATCTGAGCTCAGAATGAAAAAACTGGCCATCACTGCCTTTAATCGCTAGAACTTTTGGGGGACAATGTGCTATGAAGACAACATATCTCTTATGAAGCAAAGAACTGTTTGCCATGAAATAGACATGCTATTGCCCTGGTTATAATTCACAAAGGAGAGAAAAACAATTAATACCTGTCCTTCAATAAGCTTCTGTATGTAGCCCATCCATTCTCTATCACTTTCATATTCCATTTTTATCTGTTCTGTTTCCTAGAAAATAAAATAAACATTGGTACATAATTATTTCTGTTACATTATAGTGGAGTTGGAACCACACATCCATTACTGAAAACACTATATTACTAAGCTAAAGAAGCATGTGTGCTACAAGAAGTAGAAAGAAAAGAGTTGTCTGTTCTGGACAACACCTAAACTCTCCTAAAAGTAGTATCTACCCTTCACCCAGATGAAGGCTGGGTGAAGGGTGCAACATTTTATGATGTTCATTTGTATGTCAGCTCTGTGGTTTCAGCAGGAAAGACTGGTGGAACTCCAAAACCAATTGACACATCTATGGAATGTGCTTTTGAATTGTGGTGCTGAAGGAGACTCTTGAGAGTCCCCTGGATGGCAAGGAGAACAAACCTATCCATTCTGAATGAAATCAACCCTGAGTGCTCACTGGAAGGACAGATCTGGAAGCTGAGGCTCCAATACTTTGGCCATCTCATGAGAAGAGAAGACTCCCTGGAAAAGACCTTGATGTTAGGAAAGTGTGGCGGCAAGAGGAGAAGGAGACGACAGAGGACGAGATGGTTGGACATTTTTATGATGCTGCTTCTGCTGCTGATGTTGCTTTTTGTCATGTGATCTTTCTGTTACATGCTCTTTTTGTCACTGTTACCATCCTCATAAGGCAGCTTCAATCAAACCAGATTGATTCAGTACAGGAGACCACATCATTCTTTACATTGTCTTAAACAGACCTAGTTTAGCACTTTGATTTGCCTATAGGTCTGTCTTGACTCTGCCTCTGTTCTTCTCTTGTCCATAACTATCCTGTATAGAGTTTATGTTTTTCTAAACTTTTGCAGTGGGAGTTTCTTTCTTTCTTATTCCTCAGAATTTGCAAGTAATTTTTTTATTCTAAGTGGCACAGTACTGCATCAATGTCTGAGGAAGTCGACTTGTCCACAAAATCTCACACAAAAATATAGCAGTTAGTCTTTAAGGTGTCACAATGTTTTTGTCTTACTTATTTTTTACTTTTCTTTTGTTTTCGCCTAATACACTGACAGCATACCAAACCACCTCAAATACATCACCAAAATGGCAGCACAGGGAACGCCTCTGCAAACAGAATATAATATGGCTATTCACACAACCAAAAATGAGTAAAAAAACAGCACCATCATTTTAGAACAATCTAAAATAAATCCCCAACAGGTGTTAAAAAAGAAACAATTTCTCAAAGTAAAGTATGGGTTTCTCCCATGCTTAAAACAGCATTGTGTAGCTGGGAAATTTTGAATCAATTTGTATCATGCTAAACCAAGAATAACTGGAGGATTATATTGCAATGTAGCTGTACTCTAAGTTGTGAATACTTGACTACAATGTACACCTGTTTTATTATCATATGATACTTCAGAACCTCATTGCTGAGACATGAAGTAATACAGAGAACTGAGAACTCCACAGCACTGAGAATTGCAAGAAACAAGGAAATATTTAATTCAGCTGAAATCCATGCAACCGATCTCTACTAGGACTGGAGAGTGAGGGCTTCTAATGAGAATTTTATTTATAAGGCTTTGGAAAATATTTTATGTGGTATTAAATTCTCAGGGTTTGTTCCATTTACAACCTTGGAATTAAGGCTAAAAGGCCTAGGATGGGACTGCATCTTTTCGGGTGTGGGGGAGGGGAAACCATGTGGGGGTGATTTCTAATGGCCCTCCTAAAGGCTCCTCATAGGAAGCAGTCTTTATGTATTAGAAACTGATGGTACATTGAGGCATCACGTATTTGTATCACCTGAACACTCTAGCCCCACCCCCTTCATCATCATTTCCATTGTCCTCCTATCTACATAAACAGCATAAACAATTCTAAAGAGAAGGACTGAAAAGCTAAAATCATATTCAAGCAATATTTAATGGAATAAAACAAAAATGGAAGAAAAAACAGACTCACATTAAAGAAGCTTTACATTATACTCTTGTAAACGACTGATTTATGAGCTCCATATGAGCAAAATATATCACATTAATTCTTAGACAAATCAAGTATTACTGGTACCTCACCTCATCTCCAACATCAAGTATATCATCTAAATCACTCTTTGAAATATTCAGGATAGATGCTGCCAAGTGCTGGGCTCGGTGAACAGATTCTCTGGATACTCCATCACCGTATCCTTTGTTCTGTTGCATTTTTTTAATACATCTGACATGTGTCCGCATTTCTTTCACATTACGTTGCAGCTCAGTGGCCAATGTCTGAGAAAATGTGAATAAACATGCACATGAATATTTCTCATCAATAAATTTCTATTGCCCATTTCAACACATCAATTGCCCATTCATAAGCAAGGCAACTTTTATAAAGCAAAGCAAAGTGTGCTGCTTATATCCCACCCCATAGCGCTTCAAGCACTCTCTGGGTGGTTTACAAGTTAGTTATGCAGACTAGACATTGCCCCCCCCCAGCGAGCTGGGTACTCATTTTAACGACCTCAGAAGGATAGAAGGCTGAGTCAACCTTGAGCTGCTACCTGGGATTGAACCCCAGGTCGTGAGCACAGTTTTGGCTGCAGTACAACAGTTTAACAACTGCGCCACGAGGCTCTTCTTATAAAGCTGATGGGTCTTAATTGCCCAAAGCAGATCACCTCAAAACACTTAACATTACAACAAGAATGGTTCACAACAATATACTGTTGCTGGGTCCAATCCCATCCCCTTGGCTAGTTGGAAGGGAAGCTTGTGGTAGTGATGACAAATGGTGCTAACCTTCCTGTTAATCAAAAGGCACCAGCACTTCAAACACTATAACACTGAAGGTAAATAAGGAATGAAGAGGAAAAGTGATGAAAGCAAAGATAAAAAAATCTATTTGGAGGATCTGACATGAGAAGCAAGACTTCCTCAAAATCTAAGGAGGGTTTTCTACTGTGATGCTCAGTCAGTTGTAGGAAATTAATTTGTGATTTTAAATTAGTTTAGAGTCATGCAATAACAAAGAGTTTCCCTGGCTGAAAGGTTCTTCTAAATTTTGGGAGCTTGCAAGATCCCATTTGTGCAGTCTACAAAGACTAGAAAGAATAAGATGGTGCCAGCATGTATATGCAGGTAATGAAATACATCCAAGTAGAATGGCAATCATTAATGAGGTTGCTGCTTATTAATCATAGAATCATAGAAAAGTGAAGTTGGAAGGGGCCTACAAGGCCATCAAATCCAATCCCCTGCTCAACGCAGGAACACACATCAAAGGACATCTGTCAGGTGATGATCTAAGTTTTTCTTGAATGCTTCCAGGGTTGGAGCACTCACCAACTCCAGAGGTTAACTGCTTCAACCTTTTTATTTATTTATTTATTTATTTATTTATAATGTGTTTTTAATATAATAATTATTATACAGCACCATCTAAGCATAGGAAGGCTACAGAATTATGCTCCAGTCATGCTTCGCTACGTGCAGTTGTCCTCCTGGACCTATCAAGGCCATGGTAAACTTGCAGCTCCCACAGTTAAATTAAGTTAATGCATCGTTTTAATGGATTTTACTGCCCTTTTTTGTTTTATTCCTTTACTCCTGGTTTGATTGCATTTGTTATTGTAACCCTCTATGAGATTTTTAAATGAAAGGTAGTAACGGAAATGCTTTTAAGTAAACAAACATATTTAAATAACTGGGGACATGTTTTGGCAAATAGGGACAGAGAAATATGTGGCATAGTTTCCTTTGCCATACTCAACACTTGGATTTCAACTGTTTTTAGGCACCTCTAACTGAACATTGGCTTGCAGCCCACCAAGCAGGACTTCAATAACTCATGCTCTACTGATGGTTTCCATGTTCCCCTGTGTTGGATTCTCATGGCAATTGTAAAATTATCCCCAATGTTCTCTTACCATCATTGCTACAGGGGAAACATTGTAGTGCTGAATATGTTTTTCATTTTGGTAACAAGTAATTAAATGGCAAAGAGCTAGATGTCTTTACAATGGAAGCTCACATATACAGTATTTCAGAGGGCCATGATCTATTTCCCCATCAGAGTACTACAGAAGATAGAATTCCCCCTGTGAAAACCTCCCTCCCTAAACAGCAAATAAGTTCAATGCTGAGTAGGTAATGGAATCCAGTTTCACAAGCAGTACTGGTGTGAGAACAAAGAGAGAGAAATACATAAATAATATTGAATTGTTATGTAGGTTTATAGAAATCACCAGAAATATTCAACTAGCTTTAACCAGCTAGCACGTAGGCATGATGTAAGACATGATGTACAACTTCACGTTGTAAGCCGCCTAGAGTGGTTGAAATAACCAGATAGGCGGGGTATAAATAGAATAAATAAATAAATAAATAAAATGATAAAAACATAGCATTATCTGTCAACTGGAACACTGGCATGATATTGTCAGCAAGTGAGAGCCAAAGTCTACTAAGGAACACATGATTGGTCCATTTGTGTGTGTGTGTGTGTGTTTTGTGTGTGTGTGTGTGTGTGTGTGTGTATTTAACAGGTAGGCAAAAAGATAAAAAGAGAATCTAACAGCATGTAGAAAGCAGAGTCAAGTGTTCTATGAATACTTACCAGTGTTCTTATTTTATGAGTATAATACAGTGCAATGGGAGGGAACAAGCAGCGTATGCCTGCTAGTGAGTGGGGGAGCTGGTGGTGTGGTGTAAGAGCTTAATGCCCGTCTCTAGTCTAAAGTGAACTACTGAGTTTAGGCTTACAGAATGAGGGGATGGGGTACTGCAACATGTTTGCCCTGAAAAATACAACAGACATGCACATGGGTGGACTCTACGCAGTAACAGTATGTTGCGGATGTCTTGCTTGCTTCTGGTGTCATTTATCAGTTTTCTCCCAGAACAGCCCTGTGTACTGGGGTGCAGGACACATTGTATTCTAGTGGTCCTCCTCCTTCTCAGGGAACTCACTGGGTGACTGTATAGACTCAAAAGGCATGTCGTCCCCACACACATTAAGAGGAGCGTACTAGCTCCCCCTCATCTTTATGTTGAATACAGAAACATTACTGACTGAAAAGGTGGAACCTCTTTCAACCAGGTAGCCTCTCCATGTTAGCCAGGATCTTGATTATGGGTGGGGTGGCAGCTTGGCTTATGTGGTGACCCTACTTGGATATGATTCCATCTCTTGCGATAGATTTATCTGCATAGTCAATGTGATGGTGGAAAATGTGGGGCTACTGAACTCCCCCAAACACTGGAAGGAGAAATGAATGAATGTTTCCTTTGCATAAATCATTGGATCATACATACAACTAATGATAGCAATAGAAAACATGTTTATTGGTGTGCTGAGTAAAGTACTTTCCATTCCAGACCTCAGCATATTCAAAACACGTTTATTAGAGTGGAATTGTAAGTGTACAGTGGTGCCTCACTTAACGATGATAATCCGTTCCAAGAAAATCACCGTTAAGCGAAAACATCGTAAAACGAAATTTAAAACCCCATTGAAACGCATTGAGATCCATTCAATGTGTTCCAATGAGGTAAAAACTCACCGTCCAGCAAAGATCCTCCATATGGTGGCCATTTTCGCTGCCTGTATAGCGAGGAATCCGTCCCTAAACACAGCGGGGAGCCATTTAAGCACCCGGTGGTCATTTTGAAACCGCCGACCAGCTGTTAAAAATAACATTGTTTTGCATAGAATCGGTTCCCGAAGCAGGGAACCAATCATCGCAAAGCAAAAAAACCTATTTAGACCATCGTTTTGCGATCGCAATTGTGATCGCAATAAGATCATCATACAGCGATTTTGTCGTAATGCGGGGCAATCGTTAAGCAAGGCGCCACTGTATATAAAACATTTCTAAAAAGATTTCTTTAATTCTAAAAACTATTTACTACTTCTTGCTTATTAATTTTACAATTTGAGGTTAGGTCACTTAGAAAGGACAGGTTACTTACCTGTAACTGTAGTTCTTCAAATGGTCCTTTGTGATTCACACTCCGGGTGATTGGCGCACACACAGAGCCTCATTGGAACCTTCTACAACTTCTGTGATCAGAAAGAAACTTGTTAGTATAGCCACCGCTGCCCACACTATATATACCTTGGCGCTAAGACTCTCCCCTCAGTTCAGGTCAACCACTGCTGTGAGTGAGGGTGTGACAGAGAGGGTGGGATAGGTGGAATGTGTGAATCATAGAGGACTACTTGAAGAACTACAGTTACAGGTAAGTAACCTGTCCTTCTTCATGGCCGCTGTGAATCACACTCTGGGTGACTAGCAAGCTGCCTTACCAAGTAGGAAGGCATCACACCAAGGTAGAAGAAAGCACAGCTCTTCCAAAGGAGCCATCTGTTTTCTGTCTGACATCTAGCCGATAGTGGATGATAAAGGTTGATGGCAGAGCCGAAAACCAGGGCTGATGTGGCCACCAGGGGGCCACCGGGATGGCATTGGCTTTGTTCTGTCGCAGCCGGGTGATCACTTTGTGGAGAAAAGGAAACAGTGGGAATAGGTAAATGAGTGATTTGGGCCAATGGTTGACAAAGGAGTCGCCCAGGGATCCCTTTCCAACACCTGTACCCATTGAGGCACACCTGGGTTGACCATCAGAGTCACTTGACTGTGGAACAAGTTGTGATACATTTTTGCATATTTTTTTGCTGATATTCACACATTGAATATCAGGGCATGTAAGGGGATGTAGACTACATTTTCCTTGAACACAGTGCATTCCTGTTTCTCTTCCTAGGGTCTGCTACAGACTGCACTGGCTGCCCATTCGTTTCCGCATCGACTTCAAAGTTCTAATGCTTACTTATAAGGCCCTAAACGGTTTGGGACCTCAATACTTGACGGAACGCCTGCTCCCACCAAGATCTACCCGGTTCACCCGTGCGAGCCAGGAGGTGAGGCTGAGGAGCCTGACGCCGAGAGAGGCCCGGAGGGAAAAGACGCAGAACTGGGCCACCTCGGTGGTGGCTCCTCACCTTTGGAACAATCTCCCTCCTGAGATTCGCGCGGCCCCTACGCTGGGTATATTTAAAACGCAATTAAAAACATGGCTTTACATCCAGGCCTTCCCCCCTGCCAGCATTTAAATTGATTTGATTTGATTTTCTTCCTTTTCTCTATCTATTATTTATCATCTGTTGGTATATTGTCAGTATTGTTAATAATTGATGATTGGATTTTCATTTTAATTGTATATCTTTTGTTGTTAGC